GACGTAGTTGGCGTGTTCAACGGAGTAGAAGATGGGTGTTCCGACCTCCAAGCCAAGCTCCTTGATCTCGTCCTGGTTCGCAAAAGCGCAAGTGTACAGCGGGCTTTTGACATTGCCAATGATTTCGGCCAAGGCACCGATGACCGTCCTGTCTTCCTTGCAAAGAACCGAACCCAAGTCGAGCACCTTGACCTCGCCGGGGACCCTAGACTTCATGACGACAGTGTTCTCGACAATGAACTCGACGTGAGCCAGAGGCTCGATCTTCATTTCGGGGGTGATGACAACCTCAGGCTTGGGAATGACCTCCTCGACGACCTCGTTCTTGGTCCGCAATGGCGCGCCAGCTCCTTTTCCTTTGTTAGGTCCATCTTCTTCTTCTTCGTCAAGGCCGGCCATGAGCATCCTGACGGTTTCCTCCACGCCCAACACAGGGTGAGCATCTTCGTCATCCGAGTCGTCATCGGATGAGCTATCGGAGCTCGACTCGGATGAAGACTCGTATGGCGACGAGTCCTCTTCCCACTCAGGGTGTTCCTCCTCTTGAGCGCCGTCTTGCTCGCCGTTGGTCATGGTCGCCGAACTGGTGGGAGCATCCAGCATACCATTGAGGGCGGCTTCGAGTGTGGAAGTAACGTCGGGGCTCGGAGGAGAGTCGAGGTTGGAAGCGGTGGGATTCTCGGTGGCAGTCTGTTGCTTGTTGTCGCCGTGATTGGCCATGCTGACGTCTTCCTGTGCCTTTGCAGGCGTGCTGTCTGATTGCTTGGAATCAATCTCCATAGCGTTTTCATCCTTTTTCTCCTCGGTCTTTGGCTTCTGCAATTGAAGCAGTTGCGCGGGGTCAGCAGAGCTCACCGCCAGAACATCCTGTCCGACGATACTAGCGGCAGCGACAAGAAGATCAGGTGCAAAGTTGTCAGCGGGGAGCTGCTCGTTTGGCCTTGCCTGGCCAAGGCCCGGAATCTGGAAGGGGTGTCCAGACATGGCAAAGCGAGAAGTACAAAGGCAAGAACGGATGGCCTAGGTTGGATGTAGTTGGTTGTGATAATGGGGTGAATGCTGGTTGACGATGATGGCCAAGTTTGGTTGACTGCAGCACAACGCGACGCGCAAGATGCTTTGTAGGAAGAGAATGGGCGCGCCTTTCTGTATTCAAGACTGGGATGCCAAATACCAAGCGCAGTCAATCCTCGAAAAAGGATATGAAGACGAATGGACTGTGGGCAAGTTGATGGGATGGGAAGGAAGGAAGAAGATTCAGGCAAAACAGAGCGATGCTTCCATTTGCAGGACCAATTCCTTATCGCGACTCTTATCGGACCAAATCCAAAATTTGGGACATGGGCAAAAAAATATTGAGCCAGACCCTGTCCAATGGCGGGGCAAAGCTGCAGGAAGCACGGGCCATGTACGGACGCTATTCCCGTCAGGGACAAGCCCAGACAAGCCCAGCAGTCTTCACGTGCATTGCCTGCACTCTTGAACTTCCGATGGAGCTGTCCAATTGCGGGAGTGACGCACGACGAGCTGCTGAACTGAAAGCCTCGCTGCCCTGTGGAAATCCCCCAACTTTTCTGTTATTGTTGACCGCGGCTTATCGAGATAGCGCCATTAGCTTAAACATTGTCTCCCTCCCAATCCCAACTTGACCTCGAATTCTTCCCCTGCTCTTATCCATCCAAACACATTAGTTCCAGAAGACAGTGACGATCCGATGCCACCACCTACCAGCGAAGCTCCCAAGAAGGAGTTTGTGCATCCCAAAGCCAAACATGCCAAGAAGCAGTTAGTGAAATCATGACAAGCTCCCACTGCTTCTCTCATGTCTGCCTGACATTGATCTCTGTGACGTGCAGCTAACATCCGTGTCTTCAGGGCCATTCGAGATGCCTACGCGATCGAACCCATCACGGCCTTCTACGTCTTCCTCGGAGCCAACCTGATTGCTGCTCTCTTCGCCCCCATCCAGGACTGTGACGAGACCTTCAACTACTGGGAACCAACCCATTATCTGAGCCACGGTTATGGCCTCCAAACCTGGGAATACTCGCCCGACTATGCCATCCGAAGCTGGCTTTACATCGCCCTTCATGCTATCGTGGGCAACATCCGCAGACTGCTCCCTCACTCCAACAAGGTCGCCGAGTTCTACTTTGTCCGCTATGTTCTGGCTTTCGTCTGCGCCCTCAGCCAAACGCTTATGTGGAGGGCTGTCTGCTTGGCCCTGAACCCGAGGATCGGCCTGTTCTTTATCGTGGCGCTCGTATCCAGCCCCGGAAATTTCCACTCCAGCACCGCCTTCCTACCCTCCAGCTTCGCCATGTACATGGCCATGCTGGGAGCCGCCGCTTTCATCAACTGGCGTGGGGGTCTCAAGACTTCCAGGGCTATGTTCTACTTTGCCGTTGGTGGTGTGATTGGGTGGCCTTTTGCTGCCGCCCTTTGCGCCCCCTTCTTGTTGGAGGAAGTCTTCTTTGCCCTGGTCGGCGATAAGGATCGCTTCTTTGAAGCCGCCCATCGTGTGATCCGCGGTGTCGTTGCGGCTGGTCTGCTTGTGGTAGGTTACATCTCTTCTTTCGCCATTGTCCCCTCTTCTTGTAGCGAGTGCTAAGATTCTATAGTTCGGAGATATGCTGGTCAACACCTTCTTCTACAGGAAGGTCGAGATTGCCTCTTGGAACATTGTCAAGTACAACATCTTCTCCAAGACCGGCGGTCCCGAGCTGTATGGCACTGAGCCCTGGGACTTCTACTTCAAGAACCTCGCCTTGAACTTCCACATCTGGTTTGTCTTGGCACTCTTCTCCCTCCCAATTTTGTTGCTGCAGAAGCTTCTGTCCAAGTCCGCCGAGACTTTCCAGACCGGCTTCCGTACCGTGGTCTTTTTGACCCCCTTCTACATGTGGCTCGCCATCTTCTCGCTTCAGCCCCACAAGGAAGAGCGGTTCATGTACCCTGCCTACCCCTTTCTTGCCCTCAACGCTGCCCTTGCTATGCACACTCTGCTCGCCGCCTTTGGCAACGCCGATCCCAACAGCCTTGTTGGCAAGATCCCCGCCAAGCTGAAGCTCGCCGTGGTAGCCCTTGGCCTGCTCCTCTCCGTCGACATCGGCCTCGCCCGCATCTACGGCCTCTACACAGCCTACTCTGCACCTCTCTCCATCTACAAGCCCCTCTTCGAGGTTGGCGGAGAAGGCGACACCGTCTGCTTCGGCAAGGACTGGTACCGCTTCCCCAGCTCTTACTTCCTCCCCCGCGACATGCACGCCAAGTTCATCCGCTCCGAGTTCCGCGGTCTTCTGCCCGGTGAGTTCTCCGAGGCCGGCACCGGCTTTGGTCTCTTCAGCGGCACCTGGCTGCCCACCAGCGGCCTGAACGACCGCAACGAGGAGGACCCGGGTAAGTACGTCGACCCCAAGACTTGCGTGTTCCTCGTCGACACGCAGTTCCCCGAGCAGCAGAAGGATCTGGCTTGGAAGGCGCCGCCTAACGAGCCGGACTTTGTTGCGGACACGGAACACTGGGAGATTGTCAAGTGCGAGAAGTTCATGGATCCGGCGAGCACCAGCTTTCTGGCGAGGGCCTTGTGGCTGCCTGATTGGGAGATCATCCCGGAGAAGTTTAGGAGGAAGTGGGGACGTCATTGTTTGTTGAAGCGGAAGCAGTGAGTAATTTGGGGTCATTAGATGGCAGTGAAGAGGATGTTGGTGTATATGCAGTTAGACATCAAGACTTTTGTAGAGATGAATGCGTACACAGTACATACATGAAGAAGAAGTGTATGCCGAAATGACCCTCATGTATGTGCCGCCGCCAAGTGACTGAGATGACCGTGAAAGATTGCTGCTTACCTCCTCACCTTTATAAGCATCTTGTATATTTGTAATAAGCACATACGACCATACCCACTGGAAAGCTCGGGATCCCGTCCGCTCTCCCATAGATAAGCCAGTGAGGGCCAGACTAGTAGTTGGGTCGGTGACGACCAGCGAATCCCTGGTGTTGTATGTTGTCTTTTTTCGTTTTTCTCGAATTTATTTTCAGTTCTTCTTCGTTTTTACTTACAATCCCTAGTTATGTTGAGCCTCCACTATTCATTCTCTTTTTTGTCTTCTTCTTTATCCTTCCTTTTGTGCTGAACTTGTCGTCGTAAAGCAAATTCAACTCCCAAATGAATTTCCGTCGCCACGTTTGAGAGATCATTTGGGCTCTGAACTTGTCAGCTCGTAAAAGCAATACTCATTACCAGATCGAGAATTGGTCTTCTACACTGCCAATTTCGAAGGAGAAAGCTACTGTACTGGGTGTTGATGGGAAGTGTCTTCGAAGAGAGAGAGGGTGCGTGTAGATTTGTGGTGGGTCTGGGTTACCACTAGTCAATTTCATACATAAGGAAAGAGATGCTGTAAGCCTTCGAAAGGACTTACGAGTTGCGACATGAGAAGTACTTGTGACATCACAAGAACAAGAAATAACACGTTCACAAAGCTCGCTCTTGTTCACCCCAAGTCAAGCAGACCACCAGTTATTTTTTTTATAAAGTTTTTTGCGCAATTTTCTATTTAGGTACTTTTTACCTTTTTTTGTTGTTTTGTACATCCTGTTTTCCTTTACCTGTTTCCCTTTATTGTATTCCTTCTTGTTCCTAACTCACTGGTTACAGTCCTCAACAACCAGTCATTGTCTTCGGTTGACATTGGACCCTGATGTTTGTAGACATGACATGATATCGGGCTGTGAGTTGATGCTGATGGCGGTCGGATACTTTGTTCGTAGTTCATACAGTACTTATTGATGTCTTGCTGGTCATGATCGCGCTGGTGCTCTTCGAGTCTTTGCCTTGCTTTGCTGTCCTTTTCCGAACGTTGCTGACTACCTAGGTAGGTAGCCTGCAGGGCATCATTGCTGAAGATGATGAGACAAAGAATTGACTGGAACATCTGTCATCCAGCTGCCGAGATGGAAGCCGCTGGCGCGCGATAAGGGAACCGGGAAGACCATCAAGTGGAAGTGGAGGAGTTCGAGCTGCTGGCATCGTCAATGCTCTGAGAGGTGTCCTCGTCGGGAAGAACGTTGGCAGCAGCAGCAGCACCACCCCCGAAGACGGAAGCAGGTACGATTACGCCATGACGGGCAGCGGCAGCAGCAAAGCCACGGGGAGGAGGGCCAAGAGGACGAGCAGCAGCGGAACGAGGAGCAGCGGCGGCCGGAATACCTCCGGACACCGAAGACGATGAAGATGAGCCAGCAGCAGCAGTGGCAACAGCAGGGATGCCAGCAGTAGCAGCAGGAGCATCCTCGACCACAGGTACCTGGGGAATGCCAGCCGCAGCCTTAGCTTCCGCAACCGCAGCAGAAACAGCCTCAGCCTGAGACGCAGCTTTCGCGGCAGCCTCCGACGCCTCGCGCTCGTACATCTCCTTCAGGGTCTGGTATCTCGCCCACTTCCACTCGAGCTCAAACATCGAGTACTCCGGATCGCAGGCGACTCCCGGGTTGGGGTTGCGGTCGGGCGTGCGCGGAATGTGACCCAGCTCGAGCTGCTTGATGCGATACTCGTCGCTTTGGGTGTAGTCGTAGATTCGCAACACCTTCTTTCTTTCGAGGGTGATGGTTTCCGGGGCCGGGTTCACCGCTGTCTTGTCGGTCTTGTCGGTCTTGGTCTTCTTCTCTCCCTCCTCTTTGTTCGATCCGTTGCCGTCCTCGTTGGCGACTGGTTTGACTGCTTTGACCTGTCTCTTGATCCTGACGAAGACTTTGCCGCTGTCCGCATGGCCATAGCCGTATATGTCCTTGGCTCTGCAGATGCCAATCTCCTCAAGGTGAGGGATGCCATTGAAGTAGAGGTTTGCGACGGTCGTATCATCGTCATAGACCAGCGAATAGTCAGGAGGAGGTCTAGCGGCGTGTCTGAGCATGGTGAACTTCCTGATCTTGTTGTGAGCCCTGAGGGCTTCGATCATGTTGGCCTAATTAGGTTAGATGTCAGCAAAGGACGGATATCGGTGATGGCACAATGGGGCTAGGGCTAGATCGTGTGATGCTTACATCTTCGGCCCTGGTATGGGGCTCGTTGAACTCCCAAAACAGATGATTGAGTTGAGGGAGACGTTCTACGGCGTCTATTATAACATCGGATGTTAGCAAGGGACAGGCTAAGGATTGCCTTCTCTGCAGATAAGCTGGGCTTGTGAAGTGGGCATCGGGTAACTTACACCGAGGAGTTCGATGTTGACGATATATTCTGTTGTCTCTGGTCCCGAGGAAACAAGCTGTCTCGATAAGCTCCGCGCTCTGAAGCGATTTGAAAACTTCATTGTCCGGACGGTCCCATACGCCTGTGGAACGGCTCCTCAAGACACGCAGATTGGGGAAGGAGCGAATCAGGGTTCCCATGAGGGGAGCAAGAGAGTCCAGCGTGAGGCTCCTAACGGTAGGAATGGTGCGGTTCTTGAGGGCATTTCTCAACGTGTCGTATTTCTTCGAGGAATAAATCTCAAGTGAGACAAGATTGTTCATGCCTTCCATGACTGTACGAACACAATCGAGGCGGCGAGCTTCTCCCCAATACTTCCACTTGTTTGGGCGGCTCACATAAGCACGACCATTAGGAGGGGGCCTGATAACCAAATGTCTGTAAACATGGAAATTTGATTAGCATTCTGAAATCTATTCATGTACCGTGGGAAGCGAGGGTAGTTAGTAGTCGGGTTGGGAGTATGGGATCACGTACTTCACTCGTGAAATGACCCCAGAACCACGATTGGCCTCGGAGAGCCGCGTGAAATCATCCCTCAAGAATTCGTCAAACTCCGTCCAAATTAGCAGGTAATCGTGCGCACCAAAGTCATTGCAAATATCCCGAAAACGCTTGCACGTCTGTGAAAGACCCTGAAGCTTCTCATCGGTCAAAAAGCCGGCACCACGCTTTCCCTCGGGTTGTGCATGAGCGTATGCATGACCGTGTGACTGGCCCTGCTGCTGGTCTTCCACCTGGGTGTAAAGGGGGGCCTTTGGCGGAGAATAATGCCAGTCGTGAATATCGCCCATGACATATGACACAATCATGTTGAGGATTTCGGTAGGAAGCTTGGTGATCAAGGCCTTCGGAGTCGGCTGAATCGCCGGGGGATCAGCGGGTCTTATCAAGGCTTCGAGGCCTTCGATGTGACGGGTCAGGTCATTGATTCCCTGCCTCTGTTGCGCGATCCACTGCTGGCAATCAAGGCACGGACAGCCTGCTTCAAATACCATCGGGCCCATGTCAATGGGGATGACAGGCAGTGGCTGAAATACAATGTGGCCAATGGCATTGGGGATGGCCAGCAGTGGCTGATCAACCATTGGCTGATCCATACCAGACAATACATTGTCTTGCTGAAGAGCCGCAGAGGCAGGGGCCGGTATGTCCTGCTCGACCTGGATAGCCACATGGCCTTGAACATCCAAAGACGCTGAAGCAGGATGAGGGCTGGCCACAGAGTTGCTTGGTTGGAGGCTTGCCTGAAGTTGACTAGAAGTCGAAGTTTGCTGATTCTGATCAGCGGCCGGATTCGAAGTAGAAACTGCTACATTGTTCTCAACCTCCCTCTTAATCACGGGAGTGTCCTGAAGATGGCTGGAAGTCGACGTGTCCTGACTTTGACCAGTGGCCTGGCTCGGAGTAGAAATGACGACATTGTTCTCAACGCCACTCTGTATCATAGGAGTGCGCAGAGAAGAATTGTTGGGCGAGGCCGGACTCGAAGCGAGTCTAGCCATAGGTAGCGACATCTTGAAGTATCTCTGACCTATAGCTAAACGGGGCTGAAGTTGCAAAGCGAAGGGGTTGTCCGTTGTGATAACCGAGTTGCTTGACAACAGGGAAAGTTCAAAAAACAGATCCGGGTTGAAAGGGCTAAGCGTTGGATATTAATAGTATGAAAAAAAATTAAAAATTAAGACTCGACATCTTGGTGATTGGTGAATAGGTCAAGGTCCCTCCACAACCAGGTGTTGTATCCGCCTAACCTTCAAGTTTGTTGTGATATTTTGCCACAAGGTTCGTGGAGTATCCCGTGAAGTGACATAGCGGGATACACTTGTGAAATTGGGTAGTATTTCTGTTGGGAACCTGGGCGTATAGATTCATTTGGTTGGTAACCTCTTCGGGAAGGGTGTGAATGGAATCGATAGCAAGGGCACAGTGTGTTTGTGACAGGGAGTTTCTAACGAGACAGCCAGCGTTTGGCCGATTGTAACAGCCAGAGATCAACCAAGACAAGAAAAATATCATCCAAACCACCCCAAAGGTCTCATCGAGGATTGTGAGGTATTCCACAAAACCAGTAGCAGTGCTGCAGCAAAGTGTTGTGATGATTATAAGTCGTTATAGCGGAGCAAGCAACTGGAATGCTGCTGACAAAGCTGCTACCGCTTGGTAGCTCCGGATAGCCGGGGGCGTCCTTTGTTTGCACGAACACCGACCACTTCGTCGTTACGAGAACCTGCACGTACGAGGAGCAGGCGCAAATCCTTGCGAAATATTGATGGGCTTTGAACCACAATGCGACTCCATATCGTGAAAGGTTATTGAACTTGGGACATGAAGGCCTAAAGTCTGGGTTGGGGCACAGGGGGGTGGAAGGATCCTGGATGAGAAGTCTTGTACAGATTCCTTTTCTATGCAATCCCAAAAGTGAACATGTTCATTATATTGGGTGTTCTGCAGAGTTATCAGTAACACGACTTTTGACGGCAGAGTTTGTGCCATTTCCCAGCACGAAAAACAGTGCTCACCAGTCGAACGAGGCCTTAGTCAACCCAAGCCATATTACCAGGAGACGAGCTGCCACCGCCAATATGGCGTGTTCTCTCGCAATCGGTGCCTCGTAAACCTTGTATTGTGAAAGACCATCATTGCAAAAATCGACTGAACAAGGGTACAGCCCACCAGGCCCCAAGTACGACCAACAAGGCCAATATCAGGAGCGGTATGTCGATCGTTAGCTTTAGTCGCATCCACCTCTTTACTCTGCTTCCCAGCTTTCTGCGATGCAGACACGTTGAAGTGCTGTATACCAGACAGCCGAGGCCTGGACGGGATTCACATTCGTTGTGCTCTCTCCAACGTTGCATGAGAAGCCTAAAAAGCGTGTATCAGTATTTGCCCGTTGAAAAGAAGGCAGTTGAACAAAGGCGTGTATATGGCAATAACAGATTAGAAGGAGAAGCAAACCAACCTTACACTGCCTCGGCAAAACCTCACGTCGCTACCAAGGTCGCAGCGCCTGTCGTTGGGGCATCCCAGGTGCAGCTTACGACACTGGCAAAGCCACTCGACCTTCTTACGCACACCGGTGTCGACGAGATTGGAGAAATATCTGTTGACGTGTTTCATGGATAGGGCATCGGGGTAAATGAGTAGTTCGGTAATGAGGAGATGAATTTCGGCCGGCAGGTCCATGAATGATGGCTTTTGCGCAGTGTGAGAGGCCAAGCCAGCATGGACGTCTGTATAAGGTTTACATGCCAAGCGAGCGTGTTCGGATGACTTTGTGAGAAGATCCGTATTCGAAGCCGGCTGACCATCGGACGACGTTGGGTTGAGTGGGTCGGAGCCCGGGATTTGTGGGGCCGGGCACGGAGGTGCGGGTCCGGACTTGTATCGACGAATAAGCAGTGCCATGGTGAATCTATTTCGAACGCACTTGGCGAAAGGTATGCGGTAAAATCACTTAGAGAAAGGGTTGAGAGAGATGAAGACTGGACTGTTATGGAGGTTGGAACAGAGACCGGGAGGTGCGTGTATTTGAAGAGGTGCTTCAACACGACGTTCGAGTGAGGCTGTGGGTTCAACAATTCCTCGAAAACCAGTACTATGGGACACCTTGCTGAAAATATTAGTGGAAACAAATCAAATCGCCCGATGGACCATAGGGATGATGCGTCACTGTAGCAGACAAGTGGTGTGAAGATCAGAAAAGCTGGAGCCTGGCCGTTGAACACCACGCGGGAGGGACACTAGGCCAAGCATGCTGCCCCTGAGCCTCTGAGAAGTGGATAGATCATTCGTGGCTTTTGGAAGGCAACCGAGAATCGCAAGGCTCTCGTCCAAGCGAGGGATTGGTCAATGAGAAGCTGGGTGTGACTTGGAAACGCGGCGTTGCCCCTGAAGGCTGAATTGACCGACAAACTCGGACAACAGGCAACATAAATAATCGCCAATCGCCACCACACTTGCGGTAGCGGAATACGACAAAAGGGACGGGGGCGTGATGAGTCCAAGATGGCTGACGACGGTTGGGAGATATTGCTAGTGACGGTAATAAGAGGCTGTCGAGGTAAAACAAAGACGAATGGGGGAGAGTGTCAGTGCAGGGACTTGGTGTGGTTGGTTCAAGGCTTTGTGCCATGTTGCGCTCGTCACGTGAGCTCGTGCCTCCGGCCGGCAATTGGCGTGATACAAAAGGCGGGGCAGCGGGGAACAAGTCGCGCCAGCGAGCAATCAGCGTAGCACAGTGGGCATCAAACAAAGCGAGCCCTATGGGTAGTATGACGTCCTCTGTTTGGGCACCGTGAAAGCATCCCGGTGTTCATCCTACGTACTGAGAACCTCATCATATCCTCGTGATTTGCTTCAAATTGCTTGCTCGTAAAGATGCACTAGATGCCCTTGAGAGTATGGCGAGGTCTGCGCCCAAATACTACAGCGACAGCGACACAGATGGCGGCAGTTCCTATGGATACAACTTGACGGCCGAGCAGGAGGAGGAAATCTCCGCTCTCATCGACTCCATCTCGCCACCAACACCACCGACCCCCCGGCCAGGAACACGCGCCCTGCCTCAAAATACCACTGCGACTACCTTCCGCTCTTCCGTTCCTTCCCGCTCTCCCTTGAAGCATTCTACCACCGTGGTCACTGGTCCTGCCTTCGACGACTTCTTGGCCGAGGACGAACTATCTGACCCGTCCTTTGACATCCGCTCCGAGATAGACAACGCAGTCCACCGTCACGTCGCCAAGCCAGACCCAGACGAGCCCGCGCGTGTCATCCCGTCTCTCAATGCTCCATCATCAGATAGCAAGTCGCGCCTCGCGCCTTCTGTCCGCGACGACAACCCTCGCCTTGCAACGTTTGTCGCCGATTCCAAGGCAAAGCCGGCCCATCCTGACCCCGTTGATTCGGACGTACGCTACCCGGATTGTAAGCTGCTCGCGCCATCTTTTTTTGTCGCCAGCTTGTATTTGAAGACCTTTTCACTAACAGATATGTTGAGCGACTAGTAAGCAGTGCCCTGTCGGGCTTACAACAACAAGATGAGCCGTCTGGGTCCCCATCCAACACGCCTGCTAGCCAGGCCGAGAAGCCTAGAAAAAGGGGCCGACCGAAAAGATCAGTCGAGGAAAAGAACCTCGTGATTGAGGACACTCGGTCGCCCATCCTTCGTTTCCGAACATTCCCCAAGAAGCCCTTTTCCGTCAGTGATCTTACTTCCGGCGCCTGGTGTGAGCTACAATACTACTATGTTTTAAGTAAGCTCCCAGGCGGGAAAAAGACGCGAACGCAAGCCATGAAGGGAGGCACCACGATTCACGAGAAACTGGAGCGTGAGATTTACACCCCGGTATCCGTCGAGATCACCAAGCCAGAAGACAACTTCGGCCTCAAAATCTGGAACATCATCACGGGGCTGCGCACTCTTCGCGATACCGGCCTGACCCGTGAGCTGGAGGTATGGGGCATCCTCGATGACGGCCTCGTCGTCAACGGCGTCATCGACGGGCTGAGCTACGACAACCCGGACCCAACCCTCGAGGAAGAAGTACTCAGCAGTCGATCCAGCCAAGTGACCGAAAAGCAACCGTCGCAGCAGCAGCAGCAGCACGAAATCACAGATTTCTTCCCGCCCGAAGTCGCCGACAAGCGCGAGATCTTCATCACGGACGTCAAAACAAGAGGATCCAAGAAGCCGCCTACAAAAGCCGCCATGCGCGTCACCACCATCCAGCTGTTCCTCTACCACCGCTTCCTTTCCGAGATGGCATCCGGCAAACTGAACTACTGGCGCGTGTTTGAGCGGTACGGCATCGATCCCGATGAACCCTTCTCCGACACCTTCATGGCGCAAATGGGCGCCCTCCATGAGGAAGTCTTTTCCGACACCACCTCAGACGGTGCCGGACCCGATTACGTCAGCGCCGTATCCACCACCTCTGAAGAAGCCTCTGAAGCAGTCCCGCGCGATGACGACGACCTAGAATCCACCATGTCCTCCTCTACCCACGCCTTCGACTCCCTCAAATACCGCACCCTCCGCGACCTAGTCTCGCTCCTCAAATTCGAGCTCCAACTCACTTTTCCCCGCGGCGGCGCCAGCCTAGGTCAGATCGTAGCCGTGGAGTTCCGCTACCGGTCTCCCCGTCCCCGGGATGGGGGCGAGGAAGAGGGAGAGGAAAACCCAGAGAACGGGTCAGTCATCAGCGTCAACACGTTCTACGTCGAGCCGGAAACGCTCGACATGTACCTCCAGGACGACCTGCAGTGGTGGAAGGGCGAGCGGGACCCGCGCGGCGTGCCGGTGGAGGAGTCGTACAAGTGCCAGATGTGCGAGTTCGCGGGCGAGTGCGATTGGCGCATGAGGCTGGAGCAGGAGACGATGAGGATGGCGAAGAAGAAGAGTTTGGCGAGGAATAAGAATAAGGAGGCGTCGGTTTCATGGTAGATTGCGGGGATTTTGCAATTTGTTGAGACATGATTATGATGGCTCTTTTACCGAGGTTTTTTTTTGTTCTGGTTGAGCGTGATACCCATGTTTCAAAGGCTGCTTGGGTTGATGTGGGCGAAATTTGCCAGTCAAAAAAAAAGGGGGAAAGGACCAAGATGCCAGGGTTAGGGTCTAGGAATATCTCCCCCAGTCTTCCTCACAAAACATGCAATGCGATGGCACTTTGTCTCGGAAATGAATGATGACCATGTACGATTCACATCTCACAGACCTCTCCATAGTTTATGAACTTTTCTCTTTTTTTTTATGCTCGCGCAAAGGCCGTAAAGAATAAAATATGGCAACAAATTATATCCGCGGCGCCTACGCTTTCTTTTGAGATCCACAACAAACTCCAGCGCTGCCTGCATATTTCATCAAAAAGCTTTCATGATAACATCAACAGAGAGCGCACGTAACCATAACCGACCTTCCCAGTAGTAACTTTTCCATTTGTTTTCACGAAAACAAAAAGCCACTTAGTAAGAGCGGCCGAACATGCACCACTGCTCAGCAAGACGAGAGCACTCGGGGTTCAAGCACTTGGTCTCGCCCTTGACCAGACCCTCGGGCTGCTCGAAGGGAATGCAGAGGGACTTCATGCCCATAGAGGGAGCCTTCTGGGACTCGGGGCCCTCAGCGGCCTCGTCAGAGCGGCCAGTGGTGAGCTCCTTGATCTTGTCCTCGCAGTCGGGGACAAGGCAGTGGGGGATGATAACGACGTTCTTGGCGTCGAGAGCGGGGACGACGTCGTCCCACTTCTCGATCTTGAGACGGTGCTCGCGGAAGGAAGCCTCGGCCTTGTTGTACATGTCCTGCTGGATGGTCTCGAGAAGCTCGGGGACCTTGGTGGTGAGCTCGGCGATGGGGATGGTGCCCTTCTCACCGGTGTCGCGGCGGGCGTAAGAGACAACGTCCTTGGCGGCATCCTTGGGGCCGAACTCGATGCGGAGGGGAACACCCTTGAGCTCCCAGTCGTTGAACTTCCAGGCGGGAGTGTAGCCCTCGCGGGTGTCGACGTCGGCGCGGATGCCGGCCTTCTTGAGGGTGGCGAGGAGCTCGTCAACCTTCTTCATGTGCGCGTCCTTCTCCTCGGCGGACATCTTGGCGGTGAGGCCGACGGGGATGAGGATGGACTGGATCTTGGCGATACGGGGAGGGAGGACAAGACCCTTGTCGTCGCCGTGGATCATGACCATGACACCGATGACACGGGTGGAGAGACCCCACGAGTTCTGCCAGACGTGGATGTGCTTGCCCTTCTCGGCGGGATCCTCGACCGTGATGTCGAACATCTTGGAGAAGTTCTGGCCCAGGCAGTGAGAGGTGGCACCCTGGATACCACGACCGTTGGAGGGAATGTAGCCCTCGACAGTGGTGGTGTAGTAACCACCGGCGAACTTCTCGGCCTCGGTCTTGCGGCCACGGACGACGGGGACGGCGAGGAGCTGCTCGTAAACACCGGCGTAGAACTCAAGGATCTGGAGAACCTCCTCACCGGCGGCCTGCTCGGTAAGGTGGGCGGTGTGACCCTCCTGCCACATGAACTCGCGGGCACGGAGGAAGGGAGTGGTCTGCTTGGCCTCCCAACGGACGACCGAGTTCCACTGGTTCAGGCGGAAGGGAAGGTCGCGATGGCTGCGGATCCACTTGGCGTAGTCTGGTTTCCCTGCGGTCAACACAACGGGTAGATGAAGATGTAGGCCAGAGTCTTATGACTTACAGGGGTACATGACAGCCTCGGAGGTAGGACGGACAGCCACGGGGACCTCGAGGTCCTTGTCGCCAGCCTTGGTAACCCAAGCCAACTCGGGGGCGAAACCCTCAACGTGTTCCTTCTCCTTCTCGAGCGACTTCTGCGACAAGAACATGGGGAAGTTGGTCTCCTCAACGCCCAGCTCGTCGATGTGCTCCTGGAACCACTTGCGGATGACGTTCCAGATGTACATGGTGGCAGGGCGCATGATGAAGAAGCCCGAGATCTCGGTGTAGTACTCGATCAGCTCGGCCTTGAGGACGACCTCCTGGTACCATTGCGAGAAGTTCTCCGACTTCTTGACCGTGATGCCGATGATGTCGTCCGCCTTCTTGCCGCCGACGACGGGGAGGGTGGCTTGCTTGGCGGCCTTCTCAGCCTTCTTAGCAGCCATCTGGGCGGCCTTCTCGGCCTTCTTCAAGGCGCTCTTGGACTGTTCCTTGTTCTCCTCCATTGCTGCGCAAAACGATGGGTATCAGTTCTCGGGTTCTGTGTGTCGCGTATGTGGAATTGACGGCGAATTGGGACGAGGAACGGGTCGCTATATGTGTATATGTGTGCCCAGCGGAACTGACTCACCGACGGCAACTGAGTCAACTCGGGGGGACTGGCTGGCTTAGATGATGTCTGAGAGTAAGGATGGAATGCGCCAAACACTGGACGAGACGGGGAACAGCACTGCACAACGGGCACAGACTCTCTTCAGGCACACACGCGGGAGACGGGCTTCACATTCAGCGCACACAGTTTTGGAGATGCCCCGCATTCGAGACTCAGCTTGCGACGGAACCCGCAGCACGCGCCAGCAATGCTCCCTGTCAAAGGATCCCTCGAGGGGCACTTGCTGTGGTGGGGTTTCTGGGGTCTCGATTGCTCTGGACGGGGAGCTGGAGTCAGGCCGACGAGGGAGGCCGACGAGGGAGGCCGACAGCTGCCAGGCAAGATAAGGACCCTGAAGGTAGCTTATCGACAGTTGATTCCTTATCAGTGTGGCCGATAACATTTTTCGATGCCAGCGCAATGCGGGCGGTGGGGCAGGGACGTGCTGAAGCTGCCAGTGGGCTTGCCTGCCAGCACCACCTGAAGTTCAGAACAGAGGGCGGTCGGGCGAAGCTCTGAGAATCGAGATTGCTTGGATTCCACATTTGGCGTGCTGTTGCTGCTGGAGCTTCCATCCCGCCTTTCACAGTTGACCGTTGACCGTTGTAGGAACCTACCCACCTTCTTGACCTAAACCCAACCTTTCGATCGTCTCGCTGTTTCCCCTCCGCCCCTTGACGACGACGACGACTCCAACCCATTCGCATTCCATACACATTCAACCATGGCTTCCATGTTCGCCCAGTCGGGCAGCGGCACCCTTTTCCTCGGCGGCCAAAAGATTTCCGGTGCTGAGATCAGAGAGCAGAATGGCAAGTCTCCCCTGCCCCTGAGCCTCCAGCTAAGGATCCCACCAGCAAGCAGTGTTTGGGATGGCATCAAGTTTGGGTCGCTAACCCATGATGATTTCGTATAGTCATCGCCACACAAGCCATCGCAAATGTCGTCAAGAGCTCCTTCGGTCCCAGCGGTCTCGACAAGATGATGGTCGACGACATTGGTGTAAGCTGCTTCTCCCCCGCCCCTATCGCCAAAAGTTGAATGAACCCCGCCATGCCTAACACCGTTTGCGCAGGATGTTACTGTTACAAACGATGGCGCTACTATTCTCAGCTTGCTCGACGTTGAGCACCCCGCAGGCAAGATCCTCGTCGACCTTGCGCACCAACAAGACAAGGAGGTTGGCGATGGCACAACATCAGTCGTCCTGATCGCGGCCGAGCTGCTCAGGAGAGGAAACGAGTTGATGAAGAACCGGATACACCCCACGACTATCATCACCGGCTACCGCCTGGCCCTCAGAGAGGCGGTCAAGTACATGAAAGAGCATATCAGCATCAAGGTCGAGAACCTCGGTCGCGAGTCCCTCCTCAGCATCGCCAAGACCTCCATGTCCAGCAAGATCATCGGCGCCGACTCCGACTTCTTCGCCAACATGGTCGTTGACGCCATCCAGGCCGTCAAGACCACCAACAACAAGAACGAGACCAAGTACCCCGTCAAGGCCGTCAACATCCTCAAGGCCCACGGCAAGGGCGTTACCGAATCGATGCTCATCAAGGGCTACGCCCTCAACTGCACTGTCGCCTCCCAGGCCATGAACACCCGTGTAACAGACGCCAAGATTGCCTGCTTGGATATCAACCTTCAGAAGGAGAGGATGAAGCTTGGTGTCCAGATCACAGTCGATGATCCCCAGCAGCTCGAGGCCATCCGCGCGCGTGAGTCCGGTATGATCATTGAGCGCGTCGAGATGATTCTCAAGGCGGGCGCAAACGTCGTTTTGACGACAAAGGGTATCGATGACATGGTTCTCAAGCTTTTCGTCGAGAAGGGCGCTATGGCTGTGCGCCGCTGCAAGAAGGAGGATCTTCGCCGTATCGCCCGTGCCACCGGCGCCACTCTCCTCAGCACTCTTTCCGATCTCAACGGCGACGAGAAGTTCGAGCCCTCTTACCTCGGTCACGCCGAGGAGGTTGTCCAGGAGCGCATTTCCGATGACGAGTGCATCTTGATCAAGGGCACCAAGGTTCACTCTTCGGCCTCCATCATTCTCCGTGGCCCCAACGACTTCACCCTCGACGAGATGGAGCGCTCGGTTCACGACAGCTTGTGCGCTGTTAAGCGTACCTTGGAAAGTGGCAGCATCGTGCCCGGTGGTGGTGCGGTCGAGACGGCTCTGCACATTTACCTGGAGGAGTACGCCGGCACTGTCGGTTCCAGGGAGCAGCTCGCCATTGGTGAGTTTGCCCAATCGCTACTCGTTATTCCCAAGACCTTGGCCGTCAACGCCGCCAAGGATGCCTCCGAGCTTGTCGCCCAACTACGATCAAGGCACGCTCTGTCGCAGCGCATCCAGGAAGGCGAGGCGAACGAGGACGAGAAGATTGTTGCCCGTAAGAAGGCCTACAAGAACTACGGTCTTGACCTGATGAAGGGCAAGGTTGTGGACGAGATCAAGGCCGGCGTTATGGAGCCTAGCATGAGCAAGGTCACGCAACTGAAGAGTGCGGTGGAAGCATGCATCAGCATCATGCGTATCGATACCCTCATCACACTCGACCCTGAACAGAGGCCGGATGATGATGGACACGACCACTAAACGGATTGCAAAGATTTGTTAGATGTTACCATGTAGTTTGGGAGTACATAATGTATAAAAACTCTTGATACTACCCATGAAGGCTGGTTCTAGCATGGCATCAATTTTGTGTATGTCATCTGCTTATTCCCGTCACTATTCTAA